ATTCCTCCGTACGGAATCTCTCCAGATCCTCCATTCCTCCGTACGGAATCTCTCCGGATCCTCTATTCCTCCGTACAGAATCTCTCCAGATCCTCCATTCCTCCGTACGGAATCTCTCCGGATCCTCTATTCCTCCGTACAGAATCTCTCCAGATCCTCCATTCCTCCGTACGAAAACTCTCCGGATCCTCTATTCCTCCGTACAGAATCTCTCCGGATCCTCCATTCCTCCGTGCAGAATCTCTCCAGATCCTCCATTCCTCCGTGCAGAATCTCTCCAGATCCTCCATTCCTCCGTACAGAATCTCTCCAGATCCTCCATTCCTCAGTACAGAATCTCTCCGGATCCTCTATTCCTCCGTACGGAATCTCTCCGGATCCTCTATTCCTCCGTACGGAATCTCTCCAGATCCTCCATTCCTCCGTACAGAATCTCTCCGGATCCTCCATTCCTCCGTGCAGAATCTCTCCGGATCCTCTATTCCTCCGTACGGAATCTCTCCAGATCCTCCATTCCTCCGTACAGAATCTCTCCGGATCCTCCATTCCTCCGTACAGAATCTCTCCGGATCCTCCATTCCTCCGTACAGAATCTCTCCGGATCCTCCATTCCTCCGTACGGAATCTCTCCGGATCCTCTATTCCTCCGTACAGAATCTCTCCGGATCCTCTATTCCTCCGTACGGAATCTCTCCAGATCCTCCATTCCTCCGTACGGAATCTCTCCGGATCCTCTATTCCTCCGTACAGAATCTCTCCGGATCCTCTATTCCTCCGTACGGAATCTCTCCAGATCCTCCATTTCTCCGTACGGAATCTCTCCGGATCCTCCATTCCTCCGTATGGAATCTCTCCGGATCCTCTATTCCTCCGTACGGAATCTCTCCGGATCCCCCATTCCTCCGTACGGAATCTCTCCGGATCCTCCATTCCTCCGTACTGAATCTCTCCGGATCCTCCATTCCTCCGTACCGAATCTCTCCGGATCCCCCATCCCTCCGTACGGAATCTCTCCGGATCCTCCATTCCTCCGTACGGAATCTCTCCGGATCCCCCATCCCTCCGTACGGAATCTCTCCGGATCCCCCATCCCTCTGTACGGAATCTCTCCGGATCCCCCATCCCTCCGTACGGAATCTCTCCGGATCCCCCATCCCTCCGTACGGAATCTCTCCGTATCCCCCATCCCTCCGTACGGAATCTCTCCGGATCCTCCAGATCCTCCATTCCTCCGTACGGAATCTCTCTAGATCCTCCATTCCTCCGTACAGAATCTCTCCGGATCCTCCATTCCTCCGTACAGAATCTCTCCGGATCCTCCATTCCTCCGTACGGAATCTCTCCGGATCCTCTATTCCTCCGTACAGAATCTCTCCGGATCCTCTATTCCTCCGTACGGAATCTCTCCAGATCCTCCATTCCTCCGTACGGAATCTCTCCGGATCCTCTATTCCTCCGTACAGAATCTCTCCGGATCCTCTATTCCTCCGTACGGAATCTCTCCAGATCCTCCATTTCTCCGTACGGAATCTCTCCGGATCCTCCATTCCTCCGTATGGAATCTCTCCGGATCCTCTATTCCTCCGTACGGAATCTCTCCGGATCCCCATTCCTCCGTACGGAATCTCTCCGGATCCTCCATTCCTCCGTACTGAATCTCTCCGGATCCTCCATTCCTCCGTACCGAATCTCTCCGGATCCCCCATCCCTCCGTACGGAATCTCTCCGGATCCTCCATTCCTCCGTACGGAATCTCTCCGGATCCCCCATCCCTCCGTACGGAATCTCTCCGGATCCCCCATCCCTCTGTACGGAATCTCTCCGGATCCCCCATCCCTCCGTACGGAATCTCTCCGGATCCCCCATCCCTCCGTACGGAATCTCTCCGTATCCCCCATCCCTCCGTACGGAATCTCTCCGGATCCTCCAGATCCTCCATTCCTCCGTACGGAATCTCTCTAGATCCTCCATTCCTCTGTACAGAATCTCTCTGTGTCCTCTAATCTTCCGTACAAAGTCTCTCCAGATCCTTCAGATTCCCAGCTTCATTTTGGTGCTTCTCCTCTTCAGTACACATACTCATTTTTTCCATAGGGTTCAGGTCAGGATCTGGTCATGGTAGAAGCTTAATTCTGTGCTAAGTGACACATTTTATTGTTCATTTTGATGTTTGTTTTGGGATGATTGTCCTGATGGAAGATCCATCAACGGTCCATTGTAAGATTTCTAGTAGAGGTTGTCAGGTTTGTATTTTTTATGTGTTGGGATTTGCTAGAATTCATGATACATCTGAACGAGATGTCCAGGACCTCCAGCAGAAGAAATAGGCCCACAACATTAAAGATCCAGCAGTATATTTAACCATGGATATGGGTTACTTTTTATCCCTATATGGTGAGCAGTACAAGGCCAGTGGCGTGATTAATGATGAGCGACACCTGTGCGACGCACCGGTCTCGTATCCCTCACGGAGGAGCGGAGGCATAATAGAGGAGCGACTGCGGTGAAGATCGAAAGAGGAACAGGCCTGATGTTTTGTGATGTTTTGCTTCTTTTTTGTGTGGCCCCTCGCGGATGACTGCAGGCTTTTAATTTCATTTTACTTTCACTTTTATTTGTTTCATTTATTGTATTAAAGTCTGTTAAATGTTCGCCGGTTCCCACCTCCTTCCCATATTAACGAACTGTGTCACACCCTGTTTGCACCAATCCTGGTGTGTTGGCTGCCAAAAAGCTCTATTTTTAGTTTAATCCGATCTGGTCCCTTTTGAAGTGAATATGCTGGAGTTTGGACTTGGATGAGCGAGGACATTTTTTTGCAACCCTCCCAAACAACATGTGGTGATGTAGGGGTTGTTTGATTTTTATTTATTTATTTTTGACACCCTGGTGTGAAACGTTAGCATTTTGTCAATTTGTTGAATGAAAGATCAAAAGAATAAACACAGATTTTTTTTTCACAATCTCTTTTGCTCATGTTTTCTAAGGGTGCCTATATTAGAGGAAGGCACTGTATGTGAATGCTTGGCTAAAGCGATGCATCTTTAATCTAGATTTAAAATGGTAGAGCGAGCCTAAGCCCCGAACATGATCAGAAAGGCTGTTCCAGAGTTTAGAAGCCAAAGTGAAAATTCTCTCCCTCCTTTAGTGGGCTTAGATATCCTAAGTACTACCAGAAGGCCAGAGGTTTGAGATCTCAAAGGCTGTTTTGCTGGGTTAATTTTTCAATGAATTTGTGCAATTTGCTTGTTGGTAATAAACATTTAGACTGTTATCCATTGTATTTTATGTTGTTGGGTATCTCAAAACGGAATATAATATGAAAAAGTAGGTACTACTTTACAGCGTTTTGCAGCAATTCTCATTTTTTCCTTTTGTGATAAGTCATTCCAAAAATCATGGCAACAGATGCTGGTAGGTTTACGTATATCGCAGCCACCCCACTGGCCATTATTTTTAATGGAAGGAGACGTAGGCCAGTTTTCCAACATTAATGTGAAGGAAAGAACCTCACACTGGGAGCGGCACATATGAGGTGCTTCTCCCTCCCATTTCTGTATTGTTTAGAATCCAGTATTCCTGTGATACTTTTGTCTTTTATGAGTTTAATGAAGAACTCCTTCTCATCTTCTGTTCAAACATACCGTGCTGCCTTAAAAGAATGATCAACTTTTACGTACGTCAGGTGACCTGTAAATGCGAAAAAACTTTACATTGCAGTTTTGTGAAATATTCTTTTTTTTAATTGCCTGAAAAACCACCTCATTTGAGAGTAAAATCCTTTTTTAATTATTTATTGGAGTTTTCGCAAAATTGACGCGTTTCCAATGGGCATGTTTGCAATTTGCAATTTGAAGGGTAATAGAAACGCGGCTACTTACAGACTGGGACGAGAGGAACTGCAACAATGGAAGATAATCAACATTCAAGCAGGAAAACCTGTTCTAGTAGAGCCTGAAACACATCAAGACTTTGAAAAAGGGCAGAGTCGGTCTTCTTTAAAATGAATGTCTAAGACTTTTCACAGTATATGAGGCAATGAACAGTTAAAGGGTTAGTTCACCCAAAAATGAAATTTCTGTCATCAATTACTTAGCCTGTTGTTCCAAACCCGTAAGAGCACCGTTCATCTTCGGAACACAAATTAATATATTTTTGATTAAGGTCAGAGGTTTCTGACCCCACATAGGCACCTTTCAAGGTCCAGAAACGTAGTAAAAACATCATTAAAATAGTCAATGTAGCTGCAGTGGATCTTACTTAACTTAATGTTCTGAAGTGACAAGAATACTTTTTGTGCGCAAAAACAGAAATAAGGATTTCTTCTCTTCAATATTATTCTCCTTCGATGATCACAAAGTAAACAGTGCAGCGCTTCTGGGATCTACGTCAGAATGCCGTGGCCGACGCTGGTCATGTGAATACCACGACGCATGCGTGTGATGCTGACACAGGAGCAGCCAATAATGAGCACTGTATTTACAACGTGAATAGCAAGATGAGAAGAAATTGTTGAGTAAAGTCAGTATTTGTGTTGTTTTTTGCCCAAAAAAAAGCATTCTCGTTACTTCATAACATTAATGTTGAACCGCTGTAGTCTCATGGACTATTCTAACAACTCCTTCTGGTGCGTTACAATGACGTTGCTGCCTACGTGGGGTCAGAAACCTATCGGATTTGATCAAAAATATCTTAATTTGTGTTCCATAGATGAACAAAGGTCTTACGGGTTTGAAATAACTGGAGGGAGAGTAATGACTGAGATTCCATTTTTTTAATGAAATTGTGAACTAATGATTCCCATCTCCACTATAACTACACGACAGCAGGTCGATTTTGGACACGAACACGTCTTTTACGCTTGTAGTACAGCATGGATAAACTGAATTGTTTCCTTTTGCACATGGCCAGGGTTTGATGTTTGTCTCTACAGCAAAGCAACTGCTCATGTCTAAATTCTCTGAATGAGTGTCTTTGCTTCTTCCTCTTGTTTCTTGCAGTCTCAGCATAAATGCATTGTGATCTTTGCTCTGGTGTGCTGCTGTGCTCTCCTGATAGCATTAATATTCTCTGCTGTAGATGTGTGGGGCGATGATGAGGACGGCATCACTGTAGAAACATGTAGCAGAACCTGCCGGTAAGTAAAACTCACCCCTCGGACATTGACTACATCCAATTTAGTTGACGACTAGCTTATAACTTCTTGTGACCCACACCTGATATTTGCATTTACACTATACACTTGGTGAAACAACCCCAGGTAGACGAACTGACCCGAAAAAGCTAAGGGCAAAAAAAGTAAAAATGGCCTGCTTAATTTGTGCCGGAACAAAGTGGACCCAGATTCAGCACCTCTGAAATCTGATCCTGAACCTCCTTTGGCAGATCCCCCATCTCATACACCACTGAGAGATATTTGTTTTATGAACTGTGTACATATGTTCTTATGCATGCAAGTCGCTATGGATATTTCATGTTCTAGCTCGTTAGCATGATTGTTAGGTATTAGGCATTATTGCGGTTTTTTCTGTTGTTGGACATCGTTTTATTAAATGTTGTGAGGACTGCTGACTAGAACTGATGCATTACAGGGAGTTAAATGGCCGCTATGGTCATCTATAAACACCTGCAAGCTCCCGCGTGCAAAATGGCTGTGACTATAAACTTCCGACAGACCTTTTGTTGGACTTAATGCATAATGGCATGGTGTTTTACATGCACAACCAATCAAAGCACATCATCAGGATGTGAGAAACGCGCAAAAACGCGCGCATTCAATTTCTAAGTTAATTCTGAGAGTATATTTTCATGTCTGTTTCCATCCAGGATTTCTTATGCGCATTTTCAAAATATTGTTCTGTTACCTTTCCTTGCCCCACAAAATTTTGTTTTATTAACAAATTTTTTGGGAGGAATACGTTCAAATGATCTATCCAATCAGCAAGAGAGGAGGCGTATGTATATATATATACTCACCTGTGTTCCTTAAACAGTTTTCAGCATTTGGTCCCGCCCATCTGTCGCAATGTCATAGATTCGAACTCTCCCCGTCTGATGACGAGTCCCTTCTTTCCCAGGATTCTTCACTGCATTCCACTGATGTCAGGAGTCCTCGCGCTCCGCCGGACACTGCGACCGAGTCTCTGGCGCTACCGCATGGACGCCGGCCCACCCGTGCCGTTTCCTGAAATCCAAGACTCTGAGGCTTACCCTCACCTTCGCCAGCAAGACACCCACCAGCATCTCCAGCGTCCTCCTATGCCTGGGCACATCCAAAAATCCCTGCAATGGACAGTGCTGAGTTTAAGACAAGTGCTAATCAATGCTGATGTCCACATGAATAAAGCTCCATTATATAACCTGTTCGTTTCCTTACAATCTGCTTACCCTTCTCCAAAATCCACTCCACCCTTCAACCCTAACCCTGAGGCGAACAAGAATCGTAGATCCCTGACTCCCAGTTAACAAAGAACACCGTCTCCTTCCCTAGCAAGACCGGGCCTTCACTGAGAGTCAGGCCGCGGCAGAAGGCATTCATCAAGTCTGCCAGATTACAGTACTTCCAGGACTCACTCTACTCTTCCCCCCACCCAGCTTCACAGACGCCTTATTTTCCTGCCCTATTTCCCTTTTTCTACCCTCCTTGTTCCTCCCCAGGATCCAGGGGCCGACCGAAAGCTGCTTCGACGAGTCCTATCTTCCTCCTAACACTCTCCCCCAAGCTAGATCTCATTTCACTCTCTCCTCCGGAAAGCCAAAGCTATCCCACCAAACGCTACCGTCTTAGAACCGCCAGCAACATCACAGCACAGATACTCACAGGTACAGATATTGATTTATCTTTCCTATTATTTTTTCTTTCTCCTTCTGTTTCAGACTGTGTTTACGTTACCTTAAAGAATTCAGCCAGTAATACATTATTTTAATATACTTAATTACTTTCTTTTTCCAAATTTTACATTGCCTTTAATTGCTATAGTGAAAACATCTGCGTTACATTTCCCCATTGGAGAGGAGAGCTGATTGATTATCTCGCAAAAATTGCAAAGCTTGCATTATCTTACGGAGGAAATCATTTTCATACTTACAAGCTATTTTCAGCTAAATGTGCTGTCCACCACGTAACATTGGAGTGGCTACCAGACAGTTTTCAGATAAAAAACACTTAATAATCGATCTCTCAGCCCCGCACAATTACCCGTTCACAAGCAGAAACAGCCTTATCTCTCTCACCTAAGAGGGCATTCCCCCCATTTTCGAAACTGAACTTGAAATTCAGGCCCTGAATCTACATGTCTGTAAAAATCCTGATTGGGACATCCCTATAAATGATTTTACATAATAAAAAGAAGGCCTCAGATAGATCGGTCAGTATCAGGGATCATATTGGCAGATACTGCTTCCTGTGATCGACGATTGGTGATCGGCTCCAAAAATCCTGATTGGAGGACCCTTAATAACGGGCAAACACGTTCCCAGCGCCAAAAATCAAATAGCGGACTCTCTCAGATTTTACTTTTCAGAAATTCAGGCTGCTGGCACCAGAGTCAGACCCAACCCCAGTTCCTCATTATCCAGAGCTGATATTCCCCTAAACCACCCATTGAAACCCCTGCTTGACACCTCTCTCAACTACATTCTTGAAGTCGTCTCTCCTAGAACCTTATAAACTTACTTGACTGCTTAGAGATTTCCTTTCACGTCCCATAAAGCCTGTTTTTTCCCCAATGTTTCTCTTCTTGTTATTACCTCATTTGTATCTCATCTAAACATCATTAAAAACTTCCAGCTGTCTCCATTAAGGATAAAGTAAGCAGAATCTAATTTGTTCATAAACTTATTCATTAACTTCCCGAATAACCAATTCACAAACATCCCCTCTTATCAAAGGCATCCAAAGAACCCAGCCCGCCCGCTGATAGGCCAGAAAACCCATACCTCTAGACATATTCCCCAAATGTATCTCAACTCTCCACCTAGACTACAACTCCATCAATACCACTCGCACACTCGACACAATATGTAAATATATAAAATACCTGCAGAAATCACCTCTGGGTCTCCATCACATAGATTACAAAGACTTAGATGGGAATTTTTTTTTTAAATGTGTTGGAATAGATCCGATGATTGATGTCTACCAATTACATAATAATGTAGAGTTCCCCATCTGTCAGTCACTACAACATTATGCCGACTGACTAATGGGCTCCTTCAGGAAGGTGACGCAGCCTGTCCTCAGGCCGCTACACCCTCCAAACGTCTATCGAAGTGGCCCTGATATGGGCGGCCCAGAGATGAAGGAAGCTGCTCTGGACCGGGAGGTGGTGATCGCAGCGCTCCTTCCCCCAGAGTGAGGAATGCCGGGTGGAGAATCTTTTGTTTCTTCTTTGAATCTTCTTTCTATTCTGGTACCCACATTTTCAGTGAAAGAGCATTTTCCATAATCACTGGGCCATACAGGGCGCAGTCTGACAGTGAATGATGCTGTGCTTCCTCTTTCACAGTCCCCCCTTCTACATTCACCACAAGCCAAGAGGTCACGGTTTGAGGACGCTTTGCCTCCTCATCTGTCTCTGGCCCTCACCTTGCAGGTTCCTTGGAGACAGGTAAGTGTCCACCTTGGTGTTGCTACCATGGGGCCTGGCTAGCACTTCCCAGCCCATCCTGCTGGCTCTTGGTGACAATCAGACTGGGTTACGGGATTCATTCCACCAGGCATCTTCCCAGGTTCAGCAGTGTCCTCTTTACCTCAGTCGTAGGCAAAGACATCCTTGTCCTGCATGCGGCAATTGCGGTCCTGCTGGCAAAGGATGCAATAGAGCCTGTCCCTCCAGCCAAAATGAAGCCAGGGTTTTATAGCCCTTACTTTATTAAACCCTAGAAAGGCAGTGGATTAGATTTGCTAGTCTTAAACTGGGCCCTTCACACGCTCCCGTTCAAGTTGCTTACGCAGAAACTCATCTTTACGTGCATTCGTCCTCAAGGTCGATTCGCAGTAATCGACCTGAAGCATGTGTACTTACACTTCTCAATTCTTCCTCAACATAGAGCGTTTCATTGGTTTGTCTTTGATAGTCAGGTACAAGATCCTTTCCTTTGGCTGTCCCTGTCTCCCTACTGCTTTACCAAAGTCACAGAGTCTGCTCTTGCATTCGCATTATAAACTATCTCGACAACTGGCTCATTCTAGCTCAATCTCAAGATCTGTTGTGCAACAAGGACTTAGTGCTCATGAACTTCAGTCATCTGGGGCTTTGGGTCAACTGGGAAAAGATCAATCTCTCCCCTGTGCAGAGCATCTCTTTTTTCTGTATGGAGTAGGACTCTGTCAACATGACGACTCTACTCAGGAACAAGCACACACAGTCATTGCTAAACTGCCTGAATACATTCAGGGGGAAACAGCATTTCCACTGAAGCAATTTTAGAGGCTCCCTGGTCGCCCCGCTCGCACAGGCTACACGTTCTTGTTACAACAGATGCCTCCAGAATGGGTTGGGGCGCTGTATGCAAAGGGCATGGGACCTCGACTGCAGTGGCACATCAACTGGCTGGAGTTGTTCACAGTGCTGCTCACCCTGCGCTGGTTTCAGCCGTTGCTTCAAGGCAAGCATGTGCTGGTCTGGACAGTTGCTTGTGCTAGTCTGGACAGTCCCAACACTGCGACAGTTGCGTATATGAACTGCCAAGGCAGTCTACACTCAAGGTGCATGTCACAACTTGCCCGCCATCTCCTCCTCTGAAGCGGCTAAGGTCGCTCCGCACCATTTATATTCCGGATGATCTCAATCGTGCAGCTGATGCGCTCTCACAACAGCTCACTCTCCCGGGAAAATGGAGACCATTGGATCTCAAAATGGATCCAGTTGATCTGGAGTCAATTCAGCAATGCATAGGTAGCCCTCCCAGGAGTCCTCCCACTGTCAAGTCTTTTACTCCCAGACCGAGGCTCCCCTTTGCCCACAGTTGGCACACAGACTCTGTGCAAGGTCAGGGACGATGAGGAGCAGGTCTTAATGGTTGCCTAGTGGTACCTGGTTCTCAGACCTGATCCTCCCTGACAGATTCCCCTGAGGACCTTGTTTCTCTGGGACGGGGCACCATATGGCACCTGCGTTCGGACTCGGCTTCACTTTTCAGGACGTGTGCAGCAAACTTGGTCTGAAGTCATTACTTTGTAAATATTTTAACAAAATTTATCAAATCAGCCTATTTCACCGGTAGTGTCATTGATGCACCACTTGGGGCGCCAAACGAAATCATAAAAGTATTATTAATAGAATTTTCATAGTTGATGTATTTCAAAAAATGCCTGAGACTGTTAGCCGTACACATGGCACATTATCCATCTTAAATGATATGGTCTTAATTATAAGGGTTTGTAAAGAGATGATTAAGAGAGAGTAGCTATTTAGTGTTAGACAGAGCGTGGGTCATGTGACCTTTTAAGATATTCTGTTACACAGACACAATATACAGGCCCTGTAACAGGATAGGAATGTTGATCAAATCTACATGGTTTGGCAGCAGAAAAGACATTAGCAGAGGCTTCTTCTCATCTGAGGACACTTTCAGTATAAGACAGAAGTTAAATCCCTCTCGAGCCACTAATGATGCTTTAAGTGTCGGAGTGATGGGGTAATGCACAACTGGGACCGCAGTAAATCTCATTTCCCCAAGTGAATCTGGGATCTGGAACAGCCAACATACTTCACCACTAGACTACCGCAACTCTCCTGTGAATTCTGTTAATTCTGTTTGTACGAGCATCTATTCTCTGAAATTATTTTGCAGTTTGGAAAATGAAGTGTAAAATTAAGGATGTGACAGCCATGATCATGAGTTTAATATAATTTTGTTTTCATTATGGAGGGTAATCTGTACTTTTGATAAACACATTCACTCTGCACCTCTTTATGATTATAATATGTTTCATGTAACCATGTTTTACTCATATCACATTTTAATTTAGAGACAATAAAACCGAGTGTCATTTAGGAGAACATGTTGACTTTACAGCGGCTCCACCTTTCCAAGGATCTCCCTCCGGATTTTGCCAAATAGGGAATAATGCTACTGATTTCTCCACTTCTCAAGTCCATGTGACCAGGACACTTGCTTAAAGCAAGGCTGGCAAGCCACCATAATACATACAGTTATGTATTTATGAGTGTATTCATTATCAGTGTTCACTCTATTACTGTATTATTGCATTTATTTCCATTAGTGTGCTGTACCTCTGTTGTGTTTGTAGGCCTGCTGTGTCTTGTCATCAAAGTGTTTTGTTTCTCATTGATTTGTGTATTCCATGTCTTTGTGATCTGAGTCTGTCAAATATTTAATGTGCTGAATCACTGTCAGGATGATAAATAAACATCTGACTTTGTAGTCAATCTAGCCGGTGTTTGATTGAAATTTTGTACACATAGTGGCAGTCATTTATCAGTCTGATGTCACATCACCGTTTCCGGGTCCAAACACCCCTTCAGATGGCAAATAAGCATATACACCCATGTTGTTACTGAAAGAAAAAAAAAACATGTTCCTATTAAGTTGGCCACACATTGATTCATATGGCTGTCGAAATAGTATTCTTGAAACAAAGTGGAGGCTTAGACCCGGATCAGTATTATCACAATTTAACAAGCTGATATTATAGCTCACATCCACATAAACCTGTGCAAAATAAAATGACTAAAGCATCTGACAAATATTAGCATTTATTGTTGCAAATCTCCACACCTGGGTAAATGGTTGCATCTGGTAATTCGAGGGAAAGTAATGCAGTGCTGAAATATGCCTTCTGTTGAGTGTAGATGCTCTTGTGTTCACAGTGTTGTGCTTGTGGAGAACATTCCAGAAGATCTGTCCATCCCATATAAGGACACCGTTTCCCTGACCGCTGGCCTTCACGAGCTGCTGGAGAAAGCCCGTCGATCTGTGGAGATTGTGTCACCGCGGTGGGCATTGAACTCAACTAAATCTGGATCAAATCTTCCTCAGGCCAAACAGGTAACCATCAACATACGGCAGTTTCAACACATTTACTGATTACGTCCAGGAATTTTCTTGGTTATGCAGATAAAATTGTACAATGACTGAATGTGGAACGTTGAGTGTATTCGAGAGAGTTTCTCCTAGAGAGAGTTGGATTAGTCCCATATAACCTGCTGTATCTTCTGTCATCCTCAGGGCCAGATCTTGCTCCATCAGCTGAAGAGTTTGCGGTCTCGGTCAGTCAGTTTGAGGGTGGTCAGTGGACTAACGAATTCCTCAGAGCTCGATGAGCTCACTCGGAGTGGTAAGTATATGATGTTATTTGACATCCACTGTCTAGCAAAACCATCTTTTATGACTCTGTGTTTGGACCCAAGTGTAAAGAAGCAAAGGCACAGGAAGTCTTTAAAGGGGTGATGAACTGAGAAATTAAATTTTCCTTGAGCTTTTGATATCTAAGAGGTCATCATATTATAAGAATATCCTGTAAGTTTCAGAACTGAAAACGTCCTTGTTAGTCCAATAAAAGCTTTTATTGACACCAGCCTCAGTGGGGAACTATGACGTCAAAGAGGATAAAACCCCACCCCCGCAGGAGAAGATCAACGCCTACTTCAACACGGCCAGTTTAGCCCCGCCCACCGATTCTCGCATTACACACATAGATAAATAACATATAGATGCCTACCTCGTGATGACAAACTGTATCGAGCTACCGAGCGATACAGAATATTGTGCAGTGCCTGGTTGTGGAAGAAGACAGTCTCTGCATAAGCTTCCTGTGGACTCCAATAGGACTGCATGGATAAACTTTATTTTTAATGACGTTCAGCTGATGAGGTAAAACATCGTCCGTCTGCTCGCTTCATTTCACTGAGGATTGTAATCAAGACTGGATTTGCAGTTTAAGAGTAAGAGTAAATAACAGTGCTGTGCCGTCTATATTGGATCTGACAGGAATGCTGCAACACACGGACTCTGGGTCCAACATGTGTGGGCCAATCATTCCAGTCGCCATTTTACAACATTGGACGTTTTAGAACAATATCCCCCTAGTGCACCGACGGGTGAGTCGAAACTCATTATAATATGCAAAACTGTTCTCCACTCACAGCTGTGGGCGTTTACTTTCAAGTCTTCAGTGCGAGACGCCAATTAAATTGAGCGTTTCTGAGCTGGACTGAAACCTATTACTTATTTATTTTGATGGTTTTGAATGCAAAAACCAAGCAAACGTCATAATTTCACCTCAGATAACAATATAATAAAATTTAAAATGCCAGTTCATGACCCCTTTAATAACTCTACATGAATAGGAAACACTCTATAATCAGTAAACCTGCAATCAATCCGAAGCACATAAAACAATGCAACGAAACCTAAAGAAATACAAAAGAGCAACAAATTTAGTAGCTATGTCTTTAAGAGCACTCCACATCTCACAGTTCCCAGTGGACCTTCCTTGAGCTTTGTCCTACTGCCCAGATTCTCCCTGGCCCTCATCTACTGAAGACAGACAAGGACAACAACAGGCTTTGGACCCTAGGAATGACCACTGGATACTCTGGGTACTCTGGGAACTGGGACTAATGGAGGCTCGGGAGAAGTACTGGACTTGTTAAAGATAACTAGGGCTCAGAGGAGACAGATGGTATGAGAGGGAGGGAACACCGGAGGATATGGGGAAAATACTGAGGGCTCTGGAGACTTCATAGAAAACCTGAGACAAATAAAAAACTTCAGAAGTGGATTGTTTGGAATGAACCCCAGGGACTTGAGGATGAGTCTGGAGGAGCAGGACAGTCAAGAAGACTCTCAAGAAATCAAAGAGGACTCATGGCGTCATTCTCTTTGGGGCTTTATATTCGCATCAGCTGCATAGAAACAGTCCACTGAAAGCTTGCAGACCTGCTGGATGTCTGTCACATGCATATGATTGGTCAGTAACACTCGTGCAGTTTGCCAGGTTCAATATAACTATGAGATCAGGGTTTGAAATGAACACCTGCCAACCCACCCAATGCATTTGAAGATCAGCTGTGGCGAGTAACGCTGTCACGTCACAAACCAGTTTGGCGGGTTACATATTATGTTTACTGGCTTTGCTGGGGAAGTTCGTGTAGCCAAATCTGTGTGGATTTCGTGATATATTAAATACAGCATATTGCACAAAATCTGTGCATATATGGATTACTTGAACACACAACTATGCAACCAAATAACGCCACGCTTGATTAAAAAGCATTTGGTTAACAGAAAAGACAACGTTATTTTACAATATCCTACTTTATGATCTTTGTACTTTATTGATCTGTCCATCTAAAAAACACATTTTTGATGAGGATCCTTTAAGGATGAGGATGAAAGAGGAAGAGAGGAGATGCTGGATGACAGGATTTTGTTTGAATAAGTACCAGTTAATCTGGTTTATTACCTCTTCTTTTTTGGCCAGTAGAAACTCTAAATTGCTGGTAACTTAAAAATGTATTTAGTGAAAAACTTTATTTCAGACCCTTGATTATTGGGTCTATTGGGCTTATCCAATAATAAATTAAAAGCACTAAAATTGTATTTCATATAAGTCAGCTTTGGGTTTAGAATGGAAAAATAAGTGAAAGTCATTTAAGTATAACTGCATCATGAAATAGTCTGTATCATAGTTTGTGTTGTTCATTGGCCAATCAGGTGCAGACGTGCATTACGTGAACATGACAGCCCTGAGTCGAGGTCAGCTGAACTCCTGCTTCTGGCTGGTGGACCGGAAGCACATGTACATCGGAAGTGCCGGCATGGACTGGAGATCCCTCTCCACGGTAAAGACGCCTCTGTACTCAAGTGCTTTAAATGTCCCTACGTTTTTTAAATTCACTCCACTACCACATGTTGCTTTACTAAGTTTGTTTAGTCCATTTGGTAACTGATGTGTGGTGTGTTTGTTCTGGACAGTGAGGTGACCTGTTGTTTCCACAGATGAAGGAGTTCGGCATCATCATTCACAACTGCAGCTGTCTAGTGTTGGACCTGCACCGCATATTCAGCCTGTACTGGCAACTGCAGTATAAAGACTTTCTGCCGTCGATATGGTCAAAGAGACTGACCGCACTGTATAACAAAGACAAGATGCTGCAACTGAGTCTGAGCGGCGCTGAAGCAGAGGCATACATTTCTGTGAGTCGAGTGAGAGGGGGTTTCATTTCTGGTACACGGAAATGATCCTTCATTAGATTTGCTCCACTGTAATGATGCTTTATTTGTTTGTTTGTAGAGGCGCACTGCACAGTATACACAGAGCGGGTTAGATATGCCAGATTAATGATGTTTTGTTTTTCTGCGCCGCTTACAGAAGAGAGATTTGCTATTATTAGATTTACAGATAAAGGTCTCCATTGCCTAATATCCTGTTCAATCAATGAAGTCCTCACAGAAAATGAACCAGAAGCTTGTATTTCATCAGTCATCAGGCTTCCAGCTTCACTCTTGATCATATCTCTCTGTGACCTGTGATATATTTCAGAAGAGAGAATGATCAATTATTGCGTCTCTCGTGGTCATGCCCTGAGAATAAAAGCACCACATGAGAGTTAAAGTCCCCCTGTGGTGTAAATCCAGCGTTTAATGTTGTTTATGTGTGTATGTGGTGTTTTTAATCCGCTTTAACACACACCGTGTGTAAGTTGATAAGATTTTCCTCCTTAAAACTGCAGTGAACCAAAGACAGTCTCAAAAACACGCTTTGAAATCGCTGGTGTTTCTGACGTCACAAACCACCTTGTAACCAATCAGATCAACGGGTGATCGTCAACCAGTGGATGCATGAAGACATTTGTTTAAAAAAAACATTTAGATATGTCATTTTGTTGATCACAGATGAGTTTTAAAGGTTAACCTGATCGAGCACAGGGGGACTTTAAGGTCTTGTGTAATGTGTGTTTGGTGGCGATTCTCCCTCGAGCCTCAGCCCAGTGTTGGTCAGTTTTCCTGTGCAGTTTAGATATTTTTCTAACCTCACTGTATGTAAATAAACTGCAAATATTAGGACTGAATAAAGTTGATTACACTGGGTTACACCAATGAAAGTGAGAGAGGAGAAAGCTGCAAAACATGTTTCCATTTATGGATTTTTCTCCACCGTTTGTTGTGCTAGAGTTCTCCAGATATTTTCTGCCCAAAAGACCGGATGAAAGACATCGAGGCCATTAAAAGGGTCATTCAGGAGGCCAAGACATTTATCTACATCTCCACACCCAACTATTTACCAATGCTCAACCGCACCAAAACCAAGTGAGTCCTGTTAAACAATGGCTGACCAATAATATCTGCTATAAAATACAGTCAAATCGAATATTATTCAGACACCAGATATAATTGTTGATATTATTTCACTAGTGTGATCAGGACACTATACAACTTATTCAGAGCAGCGCCATGACAGGTATGAAAGTGAGGCTGTGAGGGATAGACTTACCGTGTTTCCAATGGCATCCGCTGTAAAAAGCTGAATAAAACTGCTAGATACTTACAATTTTCCACAGCTTACATTGTCGGGAGTTTTTTGTCAAATGACATTTCTTGGAAAGATATTTTTTCAGTGTTTCATGAGCAGAACAATCCGAAAACACATTAAATAACAGTACAGCTCATTGAAGAGATGCAAGTCTATCCCTCACAGCCTCGCTTTCATTCTCATTAAAAATCAAAGATGGCGCTGCCGTGAATAAGGCGTATAGGTCATTTATGTAAGTGAGGAGAGCAAAATAAAGTCAACTGTGACATATTACACCCAATAACTCTTCATACAGTGACTACCAGTGACAAGCTGATGATGTTCTGCTGAAGTGTGTTTTCTGTAATCGCTAATGCTCTTTTTACACAGACACTGAACAACATGAAGCATTGCTTTGTCACTGGTTGAGCTAAAATGGTATTATCTAATTGTGTAGTTAAATTTAACAGCTGACAGATATTCAACATAATTCATGTGTGAGAGTCCAACAGAAGGACGGACAAAACCAGTCAAATATCCACTGATCTGAGAACTCTGAATTCTGTTCATATTTTCTTATCATTTTCTAAACTATAGCGAATAAACTGAGATAATGTGAGAGATGTTGAAGGTGTCTGAATAAATTTAGGTTTAACTGTATTTCAGTGATTTATTTGACGCTTGCGAAGAAATATATTCTGTCAGAATACATGGCTAGAACATTTCCACCAGACTAGCTTTTACAGTACAACCAACCCATTCTGTAAACCAGACCCTAACCGTAACTTATCCCTATCCCTATTCCTGACCCTAACCGTAACTTATCCCTATCCCTGACCCTAACCGTAACTTATCCCTATCCCTATTCCTGACCCTAACCGTAACTTATCCCTATCCCTGACCCTAACCGTAACTTATCCCTATTCCTGACCCTAACCGTAACTTATCCCTATTCCTGACCCTAACCGTAACTTATCCCTATCCCTGACCCTAACCGTAACTTATCCCTATCCCTATTCCTGACCCTAACCGTAACTTATCCCTATCCCTGACCCTAACCGTAACCTATCCCTATCCCTATTCCTGACCCTAACCGTAACTTATCCCTATCCCTGACCCTACCCGTAAACCTATCCCTATCCCTATTCCTGACCCTAACCGTAACTTATCCCTATCCTATTCCTGACCCTAACCGTAACTTATCCCTATCCCTACCTGACCCTAACCGTAACTTATCCCTATCCCTGACCCTAACCGTAACTTATCCCTATCCCTATTCCTGACCCTAACCGTAACTTATCCCTATCCCTGACCCTAACCGTAACTTATCCCTATCCCTGACCCTAACCGTAACTTATCCCTATCCCTGACCCTAACCGTAACTTATCCCTAACCCTGACCCTAACCGTAACTATCCTAACCCTGACCCTAACCGTAACTTATCCCTATTCTTGACCCTAACCGTAACTTATCCCTATCCCTGACCCTAACCGTAAACTTATCCCTATCCCTGACCCTAACCATAACTTATCCCTATTCTTGAACCCTAACCGTAAACCTATCCCTATCCCTATTCCTGACCCTAACCGTAACTTATCCCTATCCCTGACCCTAACCGTTAACTTATCCCTATCCCTGACCCTAACCGTAACTTATCCCTATTCTTGACCCTAACCGTAACCTATCCCTATTCCTGACCCTAACCGTAACTTATCCCTATCCCTATTCCTGACCCTAACCGTAACTTATCCCTATCCCTGACCCTAACCGTAACTTATTCCTATTTCTTGACCCTAACCAGTAACCTATCCCTGACCCTAACGCGTAACTTATCCCTATCCTGACCTAACCGTAACTTATCCCTATCCCTATTCCGACCCTAACCGTAACTTATCCCTATCCCTGACCCTAACCGTAACTTATCCCTATTCCTGACCCTAACCGTAACTTATCCCTATCCCTGACCCTAACCGTAACTTATCCCTATCCCTATTCCTGACCCTAACCGTAACTTATCCCTATCCCTGACCCTAACCGTAACCTATCCCTATC